TTGCTTACCAACTCTCGGCTCGCACTAGCCAGCATGGAGCCGTGATTTTTGTTCGCCTTTCTCCTAGTGCGACTCGATCATATCTTTTCTCGGCACTCGCTATACTAGCATATGCTACGCAGAATCTTTTCCAATGTCTATGAATTGCGATCGAATCGATTCGAATCGAATTAAAGCGTCAAAAGAATTGTGGACGCGCGACTCGACTCGACTCGACCCGACGAGCTACGATGTTTTCTCGCGCGGCTGAGATTAGGCGTGTTATCTAGGTTAAATCGTTGAAGACCTACGTCAGACTTCGCATACGGTACGATTCTTGAAAGTTTGCCGTACCGAGCGCCAACACAGCGACCGTCGTCTAGGAAGTTTTATTGGCATCGAATAAGGGGAAAGGCCGGTGAGGCAAGGGGATTTTGTCTTCCAGGAAAAATGCTTGTGGCCGTGTCAGCTTTGCCAGGTAGTGGTAGGTCTCGTTAGGGTTGAAGTACCGTTCCCATTATAATCGCGGTAGGGTAATGCGATCTGTATTGTTCTTTCCTGGTTATTACCAGCATTCTACCGACTTACCGTTACCAGTCACTACGGTGGCTATTCATAGTTTTCGTCGCATTCTTATTTTTCGTTTCTCGAATGCTCGTCCTATTCACTTCTTGGTTATCACTGAATGAGATTTCGAAGCGTGCATACGGATCACACGTTCCTCGCATATACGTAGTGGAATGAGATCATGTTGTTTTTGTGGCGTGAGCCGACAGTTAATATGTTTAGCTTTACGCGCGGTTGCCATGTCGCTGAGCCGCACGTAGGCCGCAACGTATACGGACGCGGAGAGACCTGCAAGCAATGACGCAAGCCTCGTGTTAGTATATATGTACTTTGGAGAAACAGGAGTGAGAGAGACAGGCCTTGTAGAAGGAAACGAACCGAGGCCTCGTAAATTTCCACGATTCGCGCCACTAGCAGAAACTGAGACTCGACCGATCCTCCTGTCGTTCCACGAAGGAGCACCCTACTGCGTTTCTAAGAATCTGCCTGCTTATTCTCGCTCCGTCGATCATTCCAACTCCGAAATACATCTGACAATCATTAATATCGCGACGAGAGGAACGTGCCTCCTGAAGCGATACGACCTTCGCATAGTTTCGCGAGCGTGTCTCATCTTTTTGGTATTTTATGCTTGTCGTTCAAATCACGAGATCGTATCTTCTTTCCTTTTTTACCGACCTCAATGTTGTTTTCCTCTATCATCGGACGTCTCATGATCGTAGTCGAGCTCTGGGTCTATGGAAAAGAAACGAGAGCAGAGCCGATCGTGGAATAATATCGGTAAGAGGCATAGCAGTAGCAGACCGACAGTCGCCTAAGTACGCCACGATGGCTGGCACGTTCATCGGATTTGTCCTTGGGGCCGAAGGTAGGTGCAGCTCGAAGTCCGAGGACGTGGCAACGCAGCGGCCAGGCTCCCCCTCCTTTGTCCGCCGGCCGGTCTTGCCAGACAGGGTGTCGCCAGCTCGGTCGGCCTGGCCGTCCGGGTTGCTACGAGGGGAGAGGGGAAACGAACAACCCGATGGTGTAAAGGGGCAGGGGGATTCTGTGGGTTAGTGTCTGTATAAGCGTGTGACGGAGCAAGCATTAGGGGGAAGGAGCACGTTTATGAGAGGGAATCGTTCCGAACAGATTACACAGGCGAAACGGAGAAGACCGAGTATAGGAAGAAGAAGGAAGGAAAGAGGGATCTTGTAGTTCGTAAGGTCGAACGTGTGTGCGTGTTATACGATCGGTCGTGGACCTACATTCACGCGGGTAGCCATGTTTGAAAACTCGCGTCCCGCTGGAATGTAGCCTGCAGGGGCCCCATCGTTGATTCCTCCCTTCCTCTCCTTCCTCAACGTCACCCTACGCGATTCCCCGGTTCAAAGCTCGACGACGATGCTCGAACGCCTACCTTCCTCAGCACTGGTCCTCCTGGGGCCCTCTTTTCTCTCTCTCCCTCTTTGCCTTTCTATGGTTTCCTCTTCTATCTGCCCATCCTCTCGCTCTTCTCGTCTCTGCGGCGTTCCATGCTTGGCGCCCCAAATGGTCGCGTAACCAGAGACGCGCCTCTGGCCTGGCCTGGCCTGGCTTGGCCTGGTCGCGCCAGACTTCTCGGCGCCCAAATGATGTACGCCGACCATTCTCTTTCCCTCTTTCTCCCCCATGTTCGTTTGCTTCGGTTTCGTAGCCTTCGCTTTCCTTGCTCTCTTTTCACGCATTTGTACTTGTGCGCGTGTGTATGTGTGTGTGTGTGTGTGTGCGCGCGCGCGCGACTGTCAAAGGACAGAGTCACCGGATTGAAAGTAAGAGTAAGCGAGATAAGACGCTTCTATTTACCATTGCTTCGACTTGCGACACCTCACCTTTGAGTTCTGTGTACCATACTATACTCATATAGCCCTTACCTACCTTACTTGCGGGGCAAAAGTCACGTGAGAATACCAGCGTAAAAGAAAAGGGCGTACCGGTTGCAATTCCTTGCAAAAAACTCATTAGACAGTTCTCTCCGTTATCTTTGTCTGCGTTACACGCGTATAGAGGCATCGTTCAAGGCTTCTTGGCAAACACGAGACAAACAGTCGCCTATGATACTTATTTTGCTCGGACGATTGATCGAATCCTGTCTGAGGCTGCACTGTCCAAGTTTTCGTATAATTGGCTTCTGTCCAGTACGTAATATCACTTCGCTGTGTATACGTATACGTTTCGAACGAGTCTCTGTCAAGCAACGCTTTGTTCCTTCATTCAACTAATTATACCTTCGTTTGTCTTCGTTTTTGGGCCTTATGATCGGAGTTGGAGAAAAGAAGTATCAACTCCGTATAGTATAACGAATAATTGTAGACAATTTAAGACGATAATACGTATGTAAGTTCTTTTGTCCAGAATGAAGAGCGGCACTTGCTAAAATTGCAGGTCCGAGTTTATAACCTGAGTTTATTTACGTACATGCTAACTGGGAGAGCGCCACACGTGCACCAGCACATACAGTTCCATTGCTACGTGTTGGTGTTTGCGTTGTATACGTTATTCTACGTGCATATGTGTGAACGCTTGTGTATTTTAAATCTAGTCGCATAGATGAACCGTAACAGATTGTGTGTCCGTAAGAATTTCTAATCACAGCGGGGTTTCGATGCAAAATTTCGAAGCTTGAACAATTCGTAACGAAATGAATTTAGTGCATCAGGGAACGAAACATGTCGCCTCGTACCTTGACAGATAAAAGCAGCCCTGATTATTATCTATACGTATACGTAGGTTAAGCGTCACAGTTGGTCGCATCGCTCGTTTGCCCACGTACGAATGCAGAAATATACCTTCTCCGTGGGCGGTCACACGATGGCGCCTACTCGCGCATACCTGCGCATACCTGTGTGAGCCCGAGGCTAACCTCGCAAACTCTCGTTTCATCGAGATTCTTCGATTCGTTCCTTTGCACAATCCATTCGCTTTCTTTCGTGTTATCGCCAAGACAAAGAAGGATGGAATAAAAGAACAAAAAGACAACAACGCGTAAAAAGAAACGTTATCGAGAACGAACGCAAGGATCGAAGTGCACACGAGTAAGTGAAATACAATAACGCCCACATTTGCAACTATACGAGAAACGTACACATGCTAACCTTTATCTTATCATTGGCGAAGGCGTATCGAGGTTGACGAGGTTGCCATGCGTTTGCTTTTGATACGACGATGAAAGACAACGACGATGCGGATGACCACAATTCGAAACGATTACTAGCATCTTTCGTATTTGGTTTTCGCGAAAACCTTGAATTCGAACACGGGGATCGTTACGGGTGTAGTCTCCCTCTGACCTCGATGGTTACCGCCTCGCGATTTGCTTTATCGACCGAGCGGTAAAAAATTAAAGGATTAAAAAGCCACGTATTATCCGTTATTTGCTTTATCGACGTTTGAATGCTACTTTTGATCCTATTTTTCATTCAATTCTTTTCTCATTTTTTTGATTTAATGATATTATCGATTCGTTTATTTTCTTGCGGTGTTTACATATCAATGTATAGTAGGGTTTTTTTAATCACACTAAACTTTTTAAGACCGCTCATGTTACTTCAGCGTTTTCAAATGTACTTTTAATCCTCAAATTAGATTAACCAT